ATGTACAATTATCGTGTGCGGGATTAACACGATATAAATATTACAATCTATTTCGAGAGCTCGTTCAAAACTTATATATTAAAAAATTAAAATGGAGTCTCAAGCGAGTCGTTCGACCGAGAATCGCAGGCTTCGAGACGAATGCGAATTTAGAAACATTTTATTGAAAAACAATTACGTTCGTGTGATTCTTTTTATCGTTTACAAATAATAATATACATTATTAATATATTCTTGCATATTGAATGCATTTTATATACTTTCTATAAATTTTCTGTGAAAACGCAGACTAATTGTTATTGAAGAAAATGTTTCTACGTCCGCACAGGCAATAATGGTGTACGGCACTTCGGGCCGAAAGTGCACTCGGGCGAAGTGCAACGATGATCCCGTAGTGGGTTTGCTACTATCATCCAATTTAAAAGTGAACAGTGTACAGTGGTTAATGGCTGTCGGAGTAATGGACAGCGGGCAGGTAGCGAGGGGATCGAAACCAGGCTTCATTCATCGTTCCCCTTGTCGTCACCCTTCATTTTCCCATCTACCCCTCTTATGTTTTCCCTCGGTTTCACGAGTAATCATAAAGTTTATTTCTGGGCCTACGTACCACGTGTCCCTCGTATAACCGTGGCCTGGCCAATTTTGGAGAAGCTAATGCCTCTTCACAATTATAACGTCCACGTGCTCTTCAGTAAATTCCAAGTAAAAATATTCAATTTTCTTTTTTTCTTAAGCGAAACGTCTTGACGAAGAGTAATCGTGAAATGGCAGTGTGTCGAGGAGGACAGTTCCTAATTTTAGATAAGCACGTGTACTGAACCGAGCGCCACGTATCAACCGTCACGAACTCGTCTAATAAAGCTCGAACTCTGAGAGATCTTTCAACCGATCAAGAAAGACAAGGAGACTACGATTGTTCCCTCTCCTATTGCTGGTGCACGTTTCGCGTCAACGTGACCTGATAATGGTTCAATCTGCCAGAAATGCATTCCTGTGAAACGATATATTATATTCTCAAATGGTTCTAATGACACGTAATGACGCAGATCTAAATTATTTAATTTGACACTGCAAATTCAGAGAAATCAAAAGGAGTTTGCAAAAAATTTTTGTCAAGCCACGTTACGTCGATCCCATCGCTGACAATTACCCGGGTTACACAAGAGACGGCCACGTGTCTCGTGCAAATCGCGCTCTCTCTTGCCACGCTTAATGACAGGAAGCGAAGAACGAGACGCGGGCAAGTAGCTATTCGATTGGTACAAATATGTAATTCGTTTCTATTTGCATGCGACACGTGGCGAGTGACATAAGATATTCGCAAACGGCGTGAAACAAATTCGAAAGCTACCTTAAATACGCTAGCTACCTTAGTACATTTGATTAAATTTAATTAGAGATTTAATTAGAGATAAAAACGTTTCGGGTTAGTTAGCTCGCAGATATGATTACGAAGGAACGAATGCTATGTACAAATGCTTGCAATGTATGAATACTAGTCAGAGGAACTATAATGAATAGCAAACTTCATAATTTAATATTATCAAAAACGATACCCACAGCAATGC